GGCGGGGCGCGGGTGTGGCGCGGAGAGCGTGCGCAGGCGCAGCTCGCGAGTGCGACCCGGCCGGGCGGGCGCGGCCACTCGCTCGCGCAATGTGTTCCGCGGAGTGGAGCGAGAGCGAGTCGCCGAGCCCCGAGAGGGCCGAGCGCTCGCAGCGCTCAGTCGTCGGCGTGATGTGCCACGCGGTTGTGCTAGGAGTGTTGTTCTCGCTGCCTTCCTATCTTTACTCAGCCGTACCGTTCAGGTGAGGAACCTCAGCGGTTGTTTAACTGCGCTGTGGTGTGACGCCGTGTGAACCGACAATGGCGTACGACAATATTTAATGTGACTGTGTTGTGCTGTTGGTTATTTTTAAAGTTACTATTAAATGTTCGCTGAACATTGCATGTATGTAATGAATAGACTGACCAAATTATGTCCCTGTAGCATTGCTGCGCACCGTGATAAGCTGACGTATTACTTACCATATAATATATTGTAACAGAATTATTACGCATAACGTTAAGACGTCACCTGAGGAAAGGTACCAGAGTTGAGTCATGTAAGTAGCAGTCACGGTCCACGGTCGGCCGTGGCCGCGCGTTGCTCGTCCAGTTCTGCTGGCTCTCGTGCTTTCATGTCGTCCTGGCGCAACACGGTAAGGTGCACGTATTGCATTGCAAAAAAAATGTTGTCAGACGAAGGCCTCGCTGCTTAGTCAGCTGTTGGCTAAGATACAGATAAAGTTATCAGTGTGTTCGACAAACGCGGTAGTGTGGCACGAACATGACTGATTAGTTATGCTTTGTGATAATATTATGAACTGACAACACTGCGTATCCACCCGCCTGACCTTACCTTTTTTATCTACAAAAATACTTAAATAACAAATTACATGCTTATTGAATGTAATTACTAAGTGAACGATGTAATACCCACCTGGGTCGTGTATATGAAAATGCCGTGAACGCGTCCTGTGTAGCATTCAGTATATGTAGAAGACGCGTGTCAAAGTCAAAAGTAAAAAATCATTTATTTCAATAAGACTTTTAGAGGCACTTTTGAACGTCAAACAAAATTTTGTAGATATAGTGTCAGTCTGTCGGTCAGTCCTCTTAGTGAAGCTATTTGCTCGTTCCAAAGTGTAGATTCCGATGGAGAAGAACGAGCAAGAAACTCCATGGTTACTCTTTTTAAATCAGTTTCACATACGGATTCCGTATACAAACAGTTGGTTCAAATATATGAGAACAGTGTAACACGTTGTTATTCAGAGAAATATAAAAAGCAAATAACCTCACGGACAATAGACAGTCCGGAGCTGACCAGTCCCAACTGAAGGCGTCCGTTCACGGACATGACACGTACACCAGCATCGGCCAACTCAACCATATTGTAGGGATATGAGCGATGCAGCACCCGTGCCACCGCCAGTGTGACCTTTGAGTGAGCGTGACGACTCCAAGCTGACATAAGGATCGACATTCTGCTAGTCTAACCTATTGGAATAGGTTACAGGGCACTCACATTTACAAAATTTTTCAAGTTTGACAATATCTACCTAAATGTGATAAAAGCACCCACAGTTAATTCTTTTAAAAACAGACTCGACAAAATCTCCAAATCCATTAATACGCACGCATCAGCTTTCTAAGCTGCTAGTGTGTTCAAGTATATAATAATAATAATAATAAGCCCGCAGGGCACCTTGAGGCGAGGGCCCGCAGGGCACCTTGAGGCGAGGTGACGGGAATTAGCGATCCCGTGGGCTACCACCATCCCGATTGCTCCAGGGAGAAGTCACCGTTCCTCATCTCCGGCTTGCCTTCATTGGCTGGCCGAAGTGGACGATGACGAGGAACAGGTCTCCCACCTCTGGCTTGCCTTCATTGGCCGTCCAGAGTGGAGTCGCGAGAGTAGTGATCCTGCTCGGAGGGTGGAAGCTGTTCGTAAGCGGCGAGTGGGCCAGTGATGCAGGATGCTTAGGCAGATGCAGATGATCTGAGTAGAAAGCTGGTGGCAGTTTCTTCACCCTTCAGCCACTCACATTTCCGTTGTCCCTCTGTTGCTATTACTAGCAACCATTCCCGGGGGCCCGGTCGGTGAGTTGGCGAGTCTCCACCTGCCATTTTTACGTGTATTTATTACATTGTTTCGGCAGGTGCCATAGTCCTTCCATAGTTCCCATCATACCAGTCCATAACAACCCACACCCATAGTCTTATCCCTTGTTTCCATTATCCGCAATAGTCCTACACTAACCGGAGACTGTCCTTGGGTGCATTTCCATAGTGCATACAGGGATAGTCGCCGGTTAGTGTCCCATTTCATTTAGATTAAAGTTGTCTAAAGGGCCTCTGCGCAGTTGGCTCCGGCCCCTCGTACGCCTTCCAAATGACCGGGACCCTGTGGTCCCGTGATTGGTAAAGACATACAAATAATAATAATCCGCAAAGCAATCCGCAAGGCAGCTTGTGGCGAGCTGTTGGGCAGTGGCGACCCCACGGACCTGACTCCCGGGAGGTGTCTTGTTCTTCATCTCCGGTTAGTCCTCGTGACGAGCTGGAGTGAACACTGATGAGGAACAAGCCCTCCTACCTCATTCTTGCCTTAATTGGCTGGCTTGAGTGGAGATTCGCAAGAGTAGGAGTTGAAGGAGACTCGGGGGAAGGATGTATCTCAGTAAGGTGCTGGTAGGGGTCTTGACCGTACTTCCGGGATTGCTCTGATAGCCGTGGGATGCCTCTCCTTCCCCAAGCAGCTCAACGTATGTTGCCTCCGTGTCGCTACATGCTAGCGGCCGTTTCCGGGGGCCCATTAATTGAGTTTGCCAGTCACCCCCTGCCTGTTTATCCGTATGTATCAATATTGGTCAGGGGCAGGGGCCATAGTATTTCCATAGTTTTCATCCACTAGTGCATAGCAACCCATACCCATAACCCTATTAATTGTTACCACATTTTACAATAGTCCTGCATCAACCGGGGATTGTCCTTGGGTGCACTTTTATAGTGCATACAGGGATAATTGCCGGCTGATGTCCCATCGCATTTAGATTAAAATTGTTCAACGGGCCTCTGCGAGTTGGCTTCGGCTCCTCGTATGCCTTCCAAAGGTCCGGGACCCTGTGGTCCCGTGAAAGGAAAGAACAAATATAATAATAATAATAATAAAATCCGCAAGGCAGCTTGTGGCGAGCTGTTGGGCAGTGGCGACCCCACGGACCTGACTCCCGGGAGGTGTCTTGTTCTTCTCTCTCCGGTTAGTCCTCGTGACGAGCTGGAGTGAACACTGATGAAGAACAAGCCCTCCTACCTCATTCTTGCCTTAATTGGCTGGCTTGAGTGGAGATTCGCAAGAGTAGGAGTTGAAGGAGACTCGGGGGAAGGATGTATCTCAGTAAGGTGCTGGTAGGGGTCTTGACCGTACTTCCGGGATTGCTCTGATAGCCGTGGGATGCCTCTCCTTCCCCAAGCAGCTCAACGTATGTTGCCTCCGTGTCGCTACATGCTAGCGGCCGTTTCCGGGGGCCCATTAATTGAGTTTGCCAGTCACCCCCTGCCTGTTTATCCGTATGTATCAATATTGGTCAGGGGCAGGGGCCATAGTATTTCCATAGTTATCATATCCACCAGTCCATAGCAACCCATACCCATAACCCTTTCGTTTATTACCACAATTCGCAATAGTCTTGCATCAACCGGGGATTATCCTTGGGTGCACTTTCATAGTGCAAACAGGGATAATTGCCGGCTGATGTCCCATCGCATTTAGATTAAAACTGTTCAAAGGGCCTCTGCGAGTTGGCTTCGGCCCCTCGTACGCCTTCCAAAGGTCCGGGATCCTATGATCCCGTGAACGGAAACGAACATACAAATAATAATAATAATAATATAATGCAATTTTACTAAATTTGAGAAGTCCGCGTGAAATTACCATTTACTTACGGAGCACAGATATTTCGCTTTTTTTTCTTTAGATCCTGGTATAACTTTTCAGGAGTGACAGCTATTTTGAAATTATAGTGAAACGAAAGGTATAACATTGATAGAAACACCAAAAACACATCACACGTCCTTGGAACCTAATATTGTAAAGAAGTACTGTACACTAATTGACAATTTCCCAGGTGAAATGAGAACACCAGATATAAACTCTTTGTTGGAACTCTGTTTACTTGATGGAATTAACCTACATAATATACATATTTATGGTCAAACAGGTTTAACAATCATGAAATGCAGACGAGTTGATATGGTCTGGTTTAGGAAATACCTATATGTAAACAATGTTGGCAACATTGTTTACCTTTATTTAACCACCTCAACCGATAGAGCATAGTGATACATATTTAGTGATCCGGTCAAAATTGCCCATTGTCAATAACGTCATATTATGATTTAAACATCAACAGTATTGACTATATATTATCGCTTTGGCCAAAATAAACAGTGCTTAGATACTTTTTCAAAGCTTGTACCTACAGACTTGAAGCATGAGATGTGATGCATCCTGGCAGGATCGCCATGAAATATGGAAGCTGGTGTAATGCAAAGACAACCCGACTACCTAAAAGTCTATCTTTAATTAAATTTCTAAATACATTTACCATGCAATTAAAATAAAATATTTACATATACATAGTTTTGGACTGGTTTTTGTTGGCGAAACCCTACGGCACCGGAAGTATTTAAACATTATTTTTTACAAAATATTTAAACATTCTCCTGACCTCGGATATCAGCTAAAAAGAATGAATGGAATCATTCTTGCAGATTACGCGTGGAGAAGGGAAGTTAGGATGCATTCATAGATTAGGATTGTTATGTAACGATCTGCTATCTACATAACTTTTTAATTGATTGATGTTGAATGAATGTTCTCATGTCGATCTAGGACCTGAAAAGTTTGCGTTTTTGTCAAAAATAGTATACCAGGTATACGAATAACTATAGCAAGGGCTCGCAGCCGAAAACTGAGTTGAATGATACGAAATAGTAAGAGTAAATGCGTGTGATTTCCAGGAAGGCGCGCCGCAAGGAGCGCGAAGGTGAGCCAGCGGGCGACCCCAAGCTGTACCTGCAGGAGGCGCTGCTGGAGCGCAAGCTGCCCGAGCTCGACATGCGGCAGCTCGTCGACCTGCCGCTGGGCCTCGACTACAACGAGTGGCTCGCCTCACACAGTCAGTATCACCACCAGCCTGAACTTATCACTACGCTATGTCATTGAGTGACGTTACCGGAGGCCCAATTCTTAAATACCCAAAACCTTTATCCCCAAAGGCCGGCATCGCACTTGTAACTCCTGTGCTGTTGCGAGTGTTCATGGGCAGCGCCGATTGCTTACCTTAACCCGTCAGATTGCTTGCTGACATTTCTTATAAAAAAATAACTAAAAAAATGAGTATGGCGCTTTACTGTATGTATGGACAGGAGATCTCGGCCAGAGATAGGAGAGTACCTAGTAAAGCTTAGAAATATTTATGCGGCCTCATTTTGGATATTTACTCCAAATTGTTTTACGTATTAGTGTCTCTTAAAAAAACTATAAATGTTAATTAGGCATTTATAAATAAATCTTCATAACAAATATCCATTTAATAGCGAAGGTTAACGAAACTAAAACTCGCATTGTGGTACGCACATTGTAAGCTTGAAGCTGTTATGGACGTGCCTTGGTGCCCGTGTTGCCGTCTCGGTTTTAAGGTTAAAGCAGTAGTGTACGTGTTCCAGCGCTGGCGCTGTTCGACCACGTGAACCTGCTGTACGGCACGGTGTCGGAGTTCTGCACGGCCGCCAGCTGCCCCGACATGACGGGCCCGGGCGGCCGCACCTACGCCTGGTACGACGAGCGCGGCAAGAAGTCCCGCGTCGCTGCGCCGCAGTACGTCGATTACGTCATGACTTTCACGCAGAAGACTGTCAACGACGAAACCGTCTTTCCTACTAAGTATGGTGAGTTACTTACGTCACCCTTTCAAATCATCTCTCAAAGAGGTAAGCAACATTAATAGATAAATCCATGGCGACCACGAATCAAAAATCAACTGTGCCTAACTTATTAGTTTAGAATTAAATCGAATATAAAACGGAAAAGGCCTCGTGTTATTATGACGATCACTTCTCTGAGGACACAGCGGTGCTCATCATAACTTTTCAGTCGCATCCTGTTTTCCGCCCTTACCGCCGCTGTGTCCTCAGAGAAGTGATCGTTACCGCCGCTGCCTCCTAGAGATTGGGTTTTCGAATTATCTGTGATCTTTGATCGCATCCGCATCCGCCCATGTCCAGGGTCATACAAGGCCATAGGTGGAACAATTGGCCCGCAGTAGAGCCATTTACAGTCGGTGCTCGGGCTCCGGCTCCCGTTGGGAAGGTGCGGACCTGCTACTATTCTTAGCTTCTAGCAGCGCTGTCAAACGTTAATAGTCAATCCAAGGTATTGAATGCTGAAGTCGACAGCTATCCGCGTCCTGCCGACTTCGATACGTTCCACTTATGTAGCACATGTGTGCAGCGAACGAGTTCCCGGCGCAGTTCGAGGGCGTGGTGCGGCGCGTGGTGCGGCTGTTGTTCCACGTGGTGGCGCACATGTACGCCGCGCACTTCCGCCAGCTGGCGCTGCTGCGCCTGCACGCGCATCTGCACCTCACGTTCGCGCACCTCACCGCGCTCGACCGCCGCTTCGCGCTGCTCGACCACAAGGAGACCGAGGTCGGTGCCGAGACCGCCCAGGCCGGGTGAGTAGCAGAGGCCGCGAGGCTGACCGTAGCGTGGTGCGCAGGTGCTGCGCGACCTGGAGGTGGCGCTGCGGCTGTCGGAGCCGGCGGCGGGCGAGGCGCCGGACGACGCGTCGCCGCGCCGCCGCGAGCCCGTCGTCACGCAGCCGCTGGCCACGGCGTGAGGCCGGCGCCGCGCGGGCCCGCCACCCTCGCCGCCGCCGACTGTTTCGCCAGTTAAACGATTGTTAATTCTATTGTAAATATTTCGATCTGTTAAGTAGTTTTAGGTGATTACGAATAGTTTTACTTATAATTTGTGATCGCTTTGGTTGTAAATAAAAGTGATATTTGTTTAACTAATAAAATGAAAGCTTTATGAGAATACCTAGTTTTTTACTTAACTAAAAGGTAAGGAAGCTAAAAATAGAATAATACAAAATTTACACGTACACTTTTTTAAAACTCCGACAACACTCATAAATGAAAACACATCACAAACTGACGTCGATTCCACCGTGACGAGAAAAATTTTGTAGACTATAACTATTTCGAGTAATATAATACAGTAATGGTAATACCCATACATCCGTTTGTACGTACATTTAGTTTATGAACAGGTGGTGATGGTCTATCCTTATGATACAGATCTAATTACATTAAATATTTTTAAATGATGACTACAATGCAATTGGAACGTGTAAGAAGATCGTTACTCAGAAGGAAATGTGTCTGGTGCAGGATTTTGTCAAATAATTCTGCAGAGTATGGTGGTCAGTGTCGTTTGACATTGGTTTATTACTTGTTTTAGGAATTTGGGTGATTGGAAAGGTTCTACTACTGAGGCTGAGAATTAAAAAAAACTTTAAAAATAGCAGTTTTACACCCGTAACGGGAGGGTGCGAAGTGCCAGGTAATCAGGCCTCTAGAGAAAGGAATCTCCGGACAATACGCGCCGTGTCCAAAAGTACCTCTTTCTGCAGTAGGTTCTTGACCCAACGATGTAACGTAAGCCTGCTTAGGTGTTTGCTGAGGCTTTAAGCCATGATACCATCGGCAGACACGACTATCGGCACAATGAGTTCCGAGTCTAGGTACATCCCATCTGTCGAAAATCTCATTAGCTAAATCAAGATGCTTATTTTATATTTTTCAGCTTTCACAAGATTCTTATCACGTGGGATTGTTATGTCAATCAATTATTATTGTGCGACGGCTTGATCGATCTATCATCACAATGTCAGGTTCGTTGGTTACAATTTTCTATCAGTAATGATGGTTCGATCCCAATACAGATCTCGGAAATGAAGATGTCAGCAACATCTCCGTTTCCGAGATCTGGGTCAGGAAGATACTGCACTTCAGATTCGACAAGTTTGCAATTTAAAGCAAGTTACTAGTGAATAACCCTGGCTACGAGGTTGCGCCTATGCTAGTACTCTCCATTAGCTAGATAAGAACAACCCGAAATTAAATGTGGATGTCGGTTGGATTCCCCTCTACTAGAGATCTTCTTTATTTTTGGTATTTGTTCGTCAGTATAACTTAACTTCGTCCATAATTGCACAGACAAATGTTCTGTTTCATGAAACAAGTTGTTGAAACGTAGCCAGGATTCGCCCATGCAGAGCCCTATAATAGCTTCCGTGCAGTTCTTTGCTTTGCCACTCATCCTTGTGATCCTTTGTGCTTAGCAGGTTCTCTCCAGTTCTCATTAGCTGAGGAGAGCGCAGGTAGTCCTTTGTCCACTGCGACAACATCGTGATGCCCCGTGAGCCCCACTTTATTTTTGTAAGAAGTAATTTCGAAGACGGCGTACTTAACTGTTGTGTGGTGGCATTTAAAAAGCCTCTTCCGAGCCGATGATTGTAGGTGATGCAACCTACGCTCGGTCAGCAATGAACGAATTTTTCTATCCAGGGTGTCCAATTCCTAAGTTAGACTTGTAGAATACAGGTACTTGTGTCAGTTGGGAGTTGTCATGCTCACAGTGATAGGCAGAGCAACCAAGGATAATGCTTTTCGAATGAATAGACGACGGCTACTTGAGACCGAAATCACTGTAATGATAGTCCTGAGTTAGTTAGTGTTTAGTGCTGTAAATCGTTGAGGAATTCCCTCGACTGTTAATGGTCTCCACCGTCAGGTATACTGCAGACCTTCATTATACATAATCCATATAGGTGCAAAGTTCTCTTCAATATAAATGAGTTAAGACTCCAAATAGTCAAAGAGATCTCACGACGGTTGCCCGGTTCCATCATCAGATTTACTCCATAACTTCATTGTAACCCATAAAGGTGCGAAGTTTTCATCGACATAAATTAATTAAGTTCTAACAGGTAGTCACTGTGAACCGTTCAGGAGTTCCCTGAGCTGTCATTCGTTCTCATCATCAGACCCCTAATGACATCCATGACCAATCTTGGTGCAAAGTGCTCCATCATCAGGTCGAGTTTGACCGTGTTGTAGCTTTGTGAAAACCCCACTATAAAATTATGCAAAAGCACTACTCGCCCCTACAATTTTCGAAAGTTCCCCTCGATTTCCCTAGGATTCCGTCATCAGATCCTGACCTCATGAAAATGTTACCCTGTCGGGAGTATAACCTTTCAAACAAAACAAGAATTTTGGAAATCTGTTCATAAATGGCGGAGTAATCGGTAAACATACAAAATGTGAACTGTTATTTAATAAGGAATGAGTGAGAGTAAGTATTATAAACGTAAGAGTAAACAAGTAGGTATAATCAGAATGCTCCGAACTGTAAGCTATTGGGAGTTACACGTCAATGTGAGTCAACCATAAAGGATAGACATGTGATGTAGTGAAATATTTTTTGAAAAATATTTCCGTTACTATGATTTCTATACAACTTTAACCACTAAGGCTGCACACGCGATGGAAGCTTAAAAACGGTGTCATTTCTCCCGTTTTCTCAACGTTTACCTTCACTGCTCTGCTCCTATTAATTGTAGCGGGATGCAAAGTAGGTACACTACAACATGCTCAGGAATATAATAAATAATTGTACCTACGACCAGGGCTGAGACGTTCGGAAACGCTATCCGCTATACACTCCCCCTCGGATTCATACAGGACTCCTTGCGCAGGAACCTGCTGATGATCGGCAGAAATAGGCTTGATATGACGAGGCTGGCCTCGTCTACGTTTCGGCAAATAATCGATAGAGGCGGGCTAACATCCCTATTAACAAATCGCGTGAGCTGGGAAGCATGGAACCTGCCGAAGATCTCGTAATCTGCGTAATCTTTTCGTCTATCCTGTTCTAAAGTTATCCTTCTCGAGGACGGACCTAATATCATAATGATGATGATGAAGGAAACGATTAAAAAATTCGGAATTTTGCATAAACACTGAAAGGGGCCAGATTTCGTCAAGCAAAGATGTAGCTCAGGAGTTTGAGGCATTTTTTGCTAATATACCTGTTACAACAACTGCTCATTTAGAATCATCAGCCAGACTATCGGTAACTTTGCTTAGAGAAAATGTCAAATCATGCAAAGACGATTTTAGTTTTCATTATACTAATCCATTTTAAAGAAATCAAGATCAAATCAACTGAGGACCTTTGGGGGCTATCGGTGAAAGTCTGCGGATCACTTATCCGAACTTTAGCGCCGTATCTGGCTTTGATTTTCAATAAAAGTATAGATGACGGTGTCTTCCCGAACCTAATGAAATATAGTAAAGTTATTCCATTATTCAAAAATGGTGACACTAAGGAACCAAACAACTATAGGCCTATGTCTGTTCTGCTGGTTCTTAGCAAAGTGTTTGAAAAGTAAATGATATCTCGGATGCTTCATCACTTTGATAAACATGCCATCTTCCATCACCAACAATACGGTTTCTCTAAAGGTCGTTGTACAACTGACGCCAGTGTCACTTTGATAAAGGAGGTATTCGGTGCTTGGGAGGAAGCACAGGATGCTGTTGGTGTCTTTTGCGACCTCTCAAAAGCGTTCGATTGCGTTGATCATGAAACACTCTTGCTAAAATTAGATCATTACGGGATTAGACATACTGCTCTCCGTCTATTAAAGTTATATTTAGAGGGTAGGCAGCTGAGAGTTCATGTAGGTGGTTCTAACTCGCGGGGCTCTGAGATAAGAATTGGCGTACCGCAAGGTTCAATTTTGGGTCCGTTTCTCTTCTTAGTCCGAGCCAAGAATGGTGCTGTTTGCTGATGATACATCATTAATTTTTAAAATAGGTCGACGTTCTAATAATTTTGACGAAGTAAACAGCTCCATTCATCAAGTTCATAATTGGTTTACAGTCAATAATTTAGCACTTAACGAGAAAAAAACAAAATGTATTAAATTTAGCTTGCCCAACGTACACAGTAATGATTGTAGCATAATTTTAAATGGGCAAAAGTTAGAATTCGTCAACGAGACAGTGTTTCTAGGTATCACACTAGAGAATAGACTTCAATGGGGTTCCCACATAAAGACGCTTTCGGGGAGACTAAGCTCTTCTGTTTTCGCAGTTAGACAGATAAGACAGCTCACAGACGTGAACACAGCAAGGCTTGTCTATTTTAGCTATTTTCACAGCATTATGTCGTACGGAATTTTGCAGTGGGGTCGAGCTGCGGAAGTAGATTCCATATTTATTTTGCAAAAGCGGGCTATCCGAGCGATATATAACTTGCCCCCTCGTGAATCTCTGAGAGAACTATTTAAAACAATAAATATCCTGACGGTACCTTGTCATTTTATATATAAAAATATTATGTACGTAAGAAAAAAATTGCAATGATTTGAAAAAAGAAGCGATAGACATAATTTTAATACTAGAGGCAAAGATAGGCTGGCTGCGCCACGATTCCGTCTGTCCAAAGTACAGAAATCCTTTATGGGGTTCTGTGTAAATTGTTACAATAAAATTCCAAGAAGTGTATTAAATGTTAATGAACGAAAATTTAAAACTTATATTAAACGCGAATTATGTAGGCAGGCATACTACAAACTTTCAGATTATATTGAGGATAAGAATGCCTGGCAGCATGTTGGTTCGGCTCCACTGGACAATACTCAAATGTAGTCAGTAGTTATTAAAATTCTCAAAATTAATGAAACCTTGAATGAGTTTATATAGAAGCATTCTTTTGGATTGTGAATACGCATATGTGAGCGCCATGTTCGAGACAACGAAGGATTAAAATTTTAATGATAGATTAGATAGACCATCATTTGTTCCTTTTTATTAACAACTTGTCTCTGTATTGTTCTCACATAGGGGTACAGTAATGTATAAAAAATGTATTATTGGTGAATTGTAAACAAATATATTTTTTTAAAAGAGTGAAGATTGAGTTTCTTGCTCGTTCTTCTCCATTCGAAACTACAATTTGGAACGAGCACCTAGCTTCACTGACGAACAGACTGACAGACTACTTACTATTCTATTTTGA